TAAGCGTACGATATACTCCTACATTCATATATAGGAGTACCAAATATTAGTATGCACAAAACTCATATTCCTTTCACACCAAAAGCACAAAATAGACTTCTCCATAGTTACGGAACAACACACAAAAAATGGTCAGATAAAAGAACAAAACACACAGGAATACAAGCAATCGATCTCAAACATCTATGGGTGTGATTTTTCATTTTTCTTAACAGCATGAAAGGGACTGGCCGAGAAGTAATTTTCACAAACACAACGTAAGTCTCTCTGCTAGCTCTGGCCCGTGAGCTTGCAAGAGAGGCCAATGGGTATCCCACGCGCACACAGAGAGCCTATTTTAGTGGTTTTGATGAACACACGTCGGTGGTGATTTCGCCGATTATGGCCCTATTGGTAAGCTCTCTCGAAGTGCCTGATCATTATAACTAGCAAAATGTGTGTTCATGTGCTTGCATCCGAGATATAATAAAGACGCCTCAGAATCAGCCATCAACTTGTTCTTTAGCATCACGCAATATTTCCGATCGAGTATCAGGGTCCAAATCTATGGTATCACCACCTAATGGAAAAGGGATGAACAAGCCATATCGATCTTGCTCGTTCCTTACATCCGGCACTTCATCGACTGCATTTTTCAGTGGTTCTTGCTCTTCATGCTTGGCCCAACAACTTTAATCCTTCGTAAATCCTCTACGGATCAAATGAGACTGCACCCATAAACTTTCAGCGAACATATTCTCGTTTTTACAGTCCACACAAGGACATAGCATTATTCGCTTATCCTAGCTCTCCTATCATTCTCTGCATTACTTAGGAATTCAAAAACCCCATCCCTATACTCTTGGCTCCTATGAGAAATACCGTCGATCCAACTTTGATCTATCTACGATTAATAAGATATCTAGTAATACATACTCCCTCTGGTTTCATTTTAATTGACGTTTTGGACAATGACACGGTTTACACAATGTACCTTTGACCTTATTTTTCTATTATAATATACACAATAAATAAATGCATCTTTACTTTTATTATAGTGTTTTGAAAGATAAATCTATATATGTTCTTCTAGTTTCTTTAAACTAAATATTTTTAAAGTTATTGATGGTCAAAGTTATTAAAGTTTAACCTCAACCTTGTCCAAAACGTCAATTATAATAGAACCGGAGGGAGTAATACATTATCAGATAATTATCACATGTGTTTTTTTCACCTCTAATTTCTAGCAAAAAAATTGCTCCCCTTGCTCTCCACCCAAAATGTGAACAGTGCACGGGGTTGGGATGGAAAATAGTTGGAGGGATCCAACACCTCTGACAGGTAAGGGTTTAAACCCGTAAGAGGTGATTGTTACTCGTCTCCAATGGATTTCTTACTTGGCACCCATCACAGGTAGGGAGTCACCTGTGACGGGCCGCCATGTGCGCCCAACACAGAGTGATCTTTGTCAGGTGCATATTTTGGCCTTTCGGAGGTGACTCCCTACCTGTGACGGGCCTCAGCTCACGATCTCATTTGTAACAGCCTCCAGTTCGACCAATCGCAGATGAGGCCATCCGTGACAAGGTACTTTGTCTTGTTACATGTAGGCCATCAAGGCTGGGCCAATCTGGCGTAATGAAATTACGATAATATATAAGATTATATATAGGCAATTTAGAATTAATAATAAACTATCCTGCAACAAACTCTCACCTGGGTTTCCAAACTCGAAACCAAACATTGTAGACCCATAATCCGATAGCTAAGTGTCACCCCTAAACCTGTCATTTAGTGTAGCTTAGGTTTACCCCGGCTTAATGTTTAGCTAAAAATGATGGTACAATATAGGTCTAAATTGAATTTGTTGTAAATTACTTTCCACACCACTTGATAGTGCCAAAATAGCAGCTCCCTCCATTTTTTTTAAAAAAAACAGTTCGAGCATTAAATTTTGTCGACGGGCTATACCCGACTATGGTATTTGTGGTGTATTGGGATCATTGATACTAAACTATATGCGAGATTGCAATAAAATAGACGGAAGAAAATGATTTTTATACTGGTTTGGACCCTCAAGATGAGTAATAACCCTACTTCAGTTTATATGTATAGCTCAGCGAGGTGTCACAGTGATTATAGTGAGGGAGCAAGTTAGTTAATCTAACCAGTCGACTAGTACTCACCGAGAACAGATCCGATGACTTTGGGTTGACGGTTAGCAATCGACTTTCTCCTGGCTATCTCTCAATGTGGCTTGTGGTGATGGCTTCTGATTTGATGCCCAACCCTTCTAGGGGGCATTGTATTTATACGGGTAGGCAACTTTCTCTCCAAGTAGAACTCGAATAGATCTTGTAAGATATGGGCAAATAAGACCTTACCTTTCCTAGGTCAGACTAAGACAACCTATGTTCCCCTGGAAGGAATTTCCATTCTTATCCGCTATATTCCCTTATTTGAATATACATTTCCGTATAATATTGGGTATATAGTATTTATGGTTGTTATGAATCCATGCATAGGAGATATAGTGATATACCTAACCCGTAACACTGACAAAATTTGTATCAAAATATAATCACTTCAAGCACTATTGAGAGTAGTAATTGTCTGATCAATCACATACAATTTAAATTTCTTTCTATCTTACCCCAACTATCCTTTCACCTCCAATCATCAATCATTTAATGTGGTGCATTAATTTTTTTCTCAATCTTAATGTCTATAAAAACCTTAAAATGCTTGTATTTAGAATGGGGGAAGCACTGCACTTCCATTGTTGTACTATCACGAGGTACATATATTTGAATGTGAAACAAATTCAATTTAAATTCATTTTATCTTTTGAATTTGAGTCTAGGGATTCTTACTATAAAGAGGGACAAATGGGAATAGACTTAATGTCATCCAAATGCTCAAAACAATCCTCAGATCTTTGGTTGAAAGACATTTTTTACTTTCAAATCTCTGGGTATACCCGAAGTTCTAGTTTGGAGAAAGAAAGTTATGAATGAGAGCTCTCTATTGCTTGTTTTGGTTGGCCAAAAGTTCTATTATGGAAACCATAAGTTCTATGTTGGGTTGTTCGATTGGGTTTGTTTTTCCAAATCCTATCAGAAGTTCCGGTTGGCATCAAAAGTTCTGGATCAAGAATTTTTTTGTCTAGGCCAAGGAGGCTTGATAGAAAGTTTCGATCTTGAAAACTAGAAGTGTCAGTACTCAAATATTTGGGTAATGACTAGTTTTTGAGCTGGTAGAGTATTTAACTACCCTTCCCTCTTTTTAGGGTTTGGCTATTCCCGACAACTGGAATACTTTCCTTGCATTATAGAGCTCTCTCACTCCTCTTATAGCTTGGATGTTTGGGGATTTGGGGATTGAGTGCTAGTGAGCTGCAGGTTTTGTCCTAGAGCAATTTGATGCCAAGCCCATCCGTCGTCTCATTGATTTCTCTTGGAGGTTCTTCTCCTAGCAACCTAGGCATCAGCTGCGAGCATTTGTCGATTATGCATGGAGTGCCCAAGAAGTTTGTGAAGAATATATACCTTACCTCAGTAAGGAAAAGTGGTAAATTGGGACAAATCAAGCTTGATTTTGGTGGTCGCTTGGTGAGGATTATGATTGAAGGAGACCCGACTCTTCGGAATCCTTCAATAGAGATGTAAGATATATGGATTCAAACTTTGATGATCGGTTGTCTCCATCCTCTCATTGCCTTTGTATTTACTAATATGTGCTAAAATTGCTCAATCTACTCTTGTGCATGTGTAAACTTGGTGGTGACCCTATATTCTGATCACTGATATGGAAGTCATCAATGTAATGGTTGAGGGTTCGATTTCATCTCTAATAGCTTGAGAAAGGCAGCCGTTAGATACGAGGGAGTCACCTATGACAACTGATCAGCTGGTGGTGTCGAGCTGTCATAGATGATCCTTCAACCCAATGACGTGTGTGACCCTTATCTGTAATGGTTGTTTCGAACCATTACAGATGAATGATTACCAAAATCTATATATTTTTTTGGTTTGTAGCTAGCCTTAAAATTTTCTAGCCATGCACCTCGACAAAAAATACACATATATACCCACAAATTTAATCACATGAGCGATGTTCCGGTGCTCTCTACTAATATTATTATATTACTAGTATTATTAGGGATAAATTAGTAATTTACTAATACAATAATTAAGAGTTATTTTGTTATTTATGTTTTTTCCTAGCTAAGTCGATTTATGATTATCCATTGCATGCTCATATTTTACCGAAAACCCAAAAAAAAATTTAAAAAAGGTTTAGTCACTGCTAAATGATGATTATATCTTGTACCTATTTTTTTTACAATAATACCCTTATACGTTTCTACTACTAACTGGGTGGTAGCTAGTATAAATAGATCTAAACCCTTCGATGAAATGATATCAGCGGTTCAGATTGATTTCTACTACCAGTAAGGTGAGGCTCTAATCGCATATATCTCCCAGTTATCCCACTGTTTAGTTCGTTTAGTCTGTCACATATGATCCGTCGTAGATACGAGAATTTATGAGAATTTATCATTTATGCTCGTGTAAAAAGAGGAGTATGAGAATTTATGCTCGTGTGTCGTATTTGAGTGTTTGAAATTTTTTTACTCAGTCTTAGGATTCCTGTCTCGGTGTCACCTGTACCGAGTGTTCCAACGCGTGCTTACGAATGCAAAGAAAAAATATCTCACACGAAGAAGAAGCCAAATTTGCTGCACGCAAGTATCACATACGAGAAGAAGAAGAAGTCAAATTTGCTGCTAAGACCTACGACGCGCGGGGAACGAAGATACCGGGACCAGAAAACGAATCAGAAATACCACCCAGGTTCCGTGACTTGGTGGACTCTTGTCACGTGCTGACCATGGGACAGAGCACACCAGGCAGGCTAGCTACGAGTAGCTAACTTGCCGCGACTTGGGAAGCCAACTCCCGCCTCGCCACCACCTCCTCCTTTTGTCTCCGTGCCACGGGCATGCGAACCCCCGCGGCGCCGTGCGCGCGCGCGTGTCCGCCGCACGTCGCGACGCAACAGCAAGCGGCAGCCCACGCGGAGAGCCGCCCAGAACGCCCTGTGCTGCCGTGCCGCCGCTCAACTCTTCCTCCTCCACTCCACCTGCGCGCCGACCAACCAACCAACTGCAGATGCATATGCAGCCTGCAGCTAGCTGTTGGTTTTGCTCCTATTTCCCCTCGTGGTCTCGCCTCGTCTCTTCCTTCGCCGGCTGCGGGCTCGCCGCGAGGTTGCCTCCGCGCCTAAGCAAAAGCAGCCGCGTGCGCGCGCGCGCGCGCGCCAATCCTTCTAGGCCAAGAAACCGCGCCCGATTTATGCCGGCCCAGGGTGGGAGGGGCAAAGAATGCCGGCGTCGTACCTGCAGCCGCGCCGCGGGACGAACGGGCGGCGTATTATGGAGCACGGCGCGGGCGAGGAGATGGTGGCGTTCTACGAGGCGTGGGTGGGGCGCGAGGAGCGGATCGTCGCGGACCTCACGGACGCGCTCCTCCCGGCGCGGCGGCGGCGGGACGTGCTCGCCCCGCTCGTGGACGCCGCGGTGGGCCACGTGTCGGAGTACTACGAGCGCAAGGCCCGCCTCGCCGACCGCGACGTGGTGGCGGCGCTGGACCCGCGCTGGCTCAACCCGCTCGAGCGCACCTTCCTCTGGGCGTGGGGCTGGAAGCCCGCGCTGGTGTTCCGCTTCGCGGACGGCGCCGTCGCCGGCGGCTCGTCGCACCAGCAGCAGCGCCGCGCGCTGGAGCGCGTGCGCGCCGCCACCGCGGAGGCCGAGCGGGAGGTGGACCGGGAGGTGGCGGTCGTGCAGGAGTCGCTCGCCGGACCCCGCGTGCTGGCGGCGCTGCGGAGGCAGCACCCGCGGAACGGCGAGGCCGACGAGGCCGTCGCCGCGGTCGGGCGCTCGCTCCGCGTGCTGCTCGCCGCGGCCGACGCGCTCCGCGAGCGCACGGTGCGGGACGTCGTCGGGACGCTCGCGCCAGACCAGGCCGGCGCGTTCCTCGCGGCCATGCTGAGGTTCCACCTCGGCGTGCACCGCGCCGGCCGCAACTGGGGCTCCGGCAACGGCGGCCGGCGGGGCCTCTAGTTGTCAGTTCCGTCACTGTGTCAGTGTGAGCTCAGTAACGGTAATAACGGTCGCCGGCGTCGCGTCGGTGTCGTGCACTTTTTGGCGTGGACCAAATTATAGTCGTCGCACAGTCTCGTGTTTTGTCTCAATTGACTCCAAACGTCCGAGGGGCGGACCGAGCTAGAACCAAAACCCGGTGGGATCAGCTCCTCTTATCTTAAGACATTTGAATTTTCATGAAATTTGATGATTCAAATATCAGTAGCAATAGTACCTCATAATGCATGCCTAAATGTCTTTTGTCTGTCTTTTCAAGGGGCAGACATGAATACATGATGACATGAACCTATGTCATGTTTCTTCGAAGCCCCTGTTCAAATTGAATCACTCTACTTTATGAATAGAACTTTCAAAATCTAGCTGATCGTCACCACCAGCAGCAGGTCACAATCATGATTCGCTCAAGGCTCTGATCCATTTCACTCAGGACCCTGTGCAAAGTGGCTTCATTCGGTGTTGCGGTAGATTATGGCTGTGTTAAGTTTACACCAAAATTGAAAGTTTGGTTGAAATTAGATTGATGTGATGGAAAAGTTGAAAGTTTATGTGTAGAAAAGTTTTGATGTGATGTAAAAGTTAGAAATTTGAAGAAAAACTTTGAAACTAAATACGGCCAGATACGGTAAAATTTGTTGAAATATATGATTTGCTTGGATTTTTTTCACCAGTGTAAACTTTTAGATTGATCTGATCAATACGTGTAACTCAATAAAGTTTGTTTTGTTTAGTGTCACAGTGGACCTCGTTCAGTGTGACAGTAGATTATGATACAGTAACGCGTCATAGTTTAACTACTACGATTATGATACAGTAACGAGTATCTCCGTATCGGAATATAAAAAGTTTTAGAATTACACACGATTATTAAGAAAGTAGTAAAATAAAATGGCAGGAGATTGTGATTGGTTGAGAAGTATAGGTAAATAAGGAAATCAAATAGTGGAGGGTTATGATTGATGAAGAAGAATATTGATGAAGAAATTGTTATATTTTAGGACAAATTCTATGTGCTAGAAGTTGTTATATTTTGATATAGATGGAGTATTAGGCTTGCAGCTTTGGAAACAAATATTGCCCGCTAGCCATAGCTACGTTTTCCTTATGTGGAGTAACTATGTTTCCCTTCTATTCTACTCTGCACGAACTTCAACTCTAATGTATTTCCTTTTTGTCAACTCTATTTGGCTCAAAATACAGCAATTTTTAGGATTTAGATTTGTATCAAAGTATAACTACTTCTCTACCTACCTACCCATCTTAACTAATCATGAAATGGACCGCGCGGGCGTGTCCCGCACGACCAGTCGCCCATTAGCCATCCCTGTTGAAGGGTGTTGGATGCCCAATTTTGGAATTGAGGGGTTTATTTTAGACAAACACAAGAGTTGAGAGGTGTTTAAATTGGACTTAACCATTTAAAAAATGGCATAAGTAGTTGTATGTGAGGATGAAGGGAGGAGTATGCATGATAACCTCTTGTGAAAATAGAAGTTGAGGTAGGAAGTGCAAAGAGATACCTCATACCTCCGAAATAGTGAACCACATTAGAAAAAGATGGGAGATTGAAAACCATATGGGTGAATAGCCAAAGTGGTCCTCCAAATTTCATGCAAGGATTAGTTTAGTCCTTAATATTTCAATCTATACATATTAGTCCTTCAATTTTTTATTTTAATTCAAACTTATCCTTGAACCCACATAACCAACAACTTTCTTGATAAATGACACTTATACCCCCTCATTCACACATATAAGAGAAAAGGTTGCATGCAATGAATTCTTTTAATAGATAATGTATCGAGGAGTGATCCTCTCTAGCGGGAGATCGTGAGATCCCCTTTTGTGAGTTCAGCCGGGGGAAAGAGCTCGCCTCTAGAGATCGTGTATCCGCCCTGAATGCTGCAAGACGCGTGTGGGCACCAAGATTATACAGGTTCGGGCCGCTATGGAGCGTAATACCCTACTCCTGTGTGTGAGGTTATGGTTGAGTGTTACAACGGTTCCTAAACTCCGGAGAGCGCTCCCACTTCTCTTCTCCTAGAGCTTAGGCTTACTGAGAGTCATCCATTTTTCTCGGTGGGCAAGGTCCTCTTTTTATAGTTCAAGGGGATACCACATGCACCGCCTCTACCTACTCTTCTACGGGATGGGGACCCACTCTACCTTGACCGGACCACGATCTGTGCCTTTGCCCGGAAGCTAAGCCGCGGTACGCCCTTCTGTGGGACCCAGCACCGCCCTCCACCTGACATGGGGGACGGCCCTGTCATTCACCCTTAAATGGGCGGAGACCTTTGGCCGTCCTACTCACGTCGGGAGTACTCCGGATGACGCTCTCATGTGACAGGACACACCTACCTCCACTCCGCCAGAGACAGAGGCGACGTGGGGGCGCGGCTGCCCGTCCAGTCAGACATGACCGGCGACAGGCCGGTCACAGACTGGTCAGTCCTGACTGACGTGCGTTAGTCGCGCGGCACCGCACGTCTGCCCTTACCGGTGAGGGGCAGTTGGGGCGCCGCACGCATTGATAGTGGTTCAGCCTGGGTCCCCTCCCTGCTCGCTCCCCCCGCCACATGGCAGTTGGGCGAGGTCCTTGGGGCAAGGCAGTGCGAGGGCCCAAGGGGCACGACGTGTCACCCCGAGGCCCCCCCGCCGCTTCTGCGATTCGCGAGGTGCTGGGTTAGGGCCAGGTTGTAGGGCCACGTGGCTGGATGGGAAGGTAAATTCCCCTCACTTTGCATACTCCCAGGCCCATATCTCCGACAGTAGCCCCCGACACCACGTCGGACATTGGCCCCTTGAGGACAGTCTGACGTGGCGCCTCACAACTTCCCATGTCATGGTTGTGGGCCCGGCGGGGAATCTAAACGGATGCCGCCGAGCGGCCAGGCTGGCGCATTAGCCATAATGGCGATTTGACCGCCACTAACCGCGCTGATGATGGGGGCGCTTAGGGCGCGAAAATCAGGGGGTCGGCCAGACCACGCCTCGACTCCCTTGCCTGCCAGGCACACGATGGAACCGACGGCGGGCCCGCCTAACCTGCGCCCATGAACATCGCACGCCCTGCGCCGAGTGTGCCGCTGACAGGCGCACTAAACGCGGGGCGCGGATTCAATGGGCGACGTGATCATGAGTGGACGAGGGAAACGATGAGGCAACCGCAGGCGTAGGAATCAAGGGGGCAACCGTGGGGGCGTGAAACGAGGAGGCGAGCGCGGGCGAGGCAGGGATAAAAGGATAGGGAGGCAGAGATTTCGCCTCCTTCCTCTCGCCGACTGCTCACCCGCACACTCGCTCCTCAAGCCCTAACGCTCTTGCCACTCTACGCTATTTCGCACACCAAACTCCTCGCCGTTTCACCGCCGGTCACCATGGCCCAAGACGCTGGTGACGCTGTGCTCCTGGCGTCGCGCATCACGGCAGAGAGGCACCTTAGCCTCTCCCGCAAGATCATGCCGGAGGACGTCGCCGTGAGGGTGGGGGAGTTGCGGCCGCGACCGCGGTACCCAGAGCGATCCGTGCACCTCCTGTCCTTTGCCATGGTGGGGTTGATCCCGCCATTCTCCAGGTTCTTCCATGAGGTTTTGGATTTCTACGAGATCCATGCCTTGCATCTCGCACCCAACGCCGTAATGACGCTGGCCATCTTTGCGCACTTGTGCGAGATGTTCGTCAGGGTGCGCCGACAATGCGGCTGTTCCAGTCCTTTTTCGTCCCACAGCTGCAGCAGCGCGCGGCGGTGGGAGGATGCTACCTCCAGCCCCGGCCAGGGACGGCGGGGCAATACATTGAGAGCCATCTCCGCAAGAAGTGGGAGAGATTGGAAGAAGGATTGGTTCTACACCGCGCTGCCGGATCATCCGCGACTTCGGTTCCCTACCGCCCCCCACCCCCGAGCGATCCGCCTCGTGGTTGGCGGTTTCGGAGCTGGGCGAGGAGTACGATGCAGTGCGGGACCGCCTCAGGGGCCTGCGAAACAAGGGCCTAACGGGGGCGATGGTGTTTGACGACTACTTCCGCCGCTGCATCGCGCCTCTCCAGGAGCGGTCCCGTGGCGCGTGGGAGTACACCGAGCACAACGATCCCATGCGCACCCACGTGGGTGAGCGCTGGGACTGGGGCGAGGAGGACGCAAAGACAGTGATCCGACGGGTGCTGGGTCTGGACACTGCCGAGCAAACGCTGATCCTGGACGGGATCCTCCCCCTCTGCAGCGACCGCGACCGGGAGAGTATCCTGGCTGTGATGTCGGCCGTCGGTGCTGCCGGTGGGGGCGACGGCGCGGGTAGCAGCGGCGCGACCGCAGGCAGCAGTCGGATCGGCGGCTCCAGGGCACCCGGTCCGAGCCGTGGGCCTGGGGGAGACTCGGCCAGCGACCTGAAAGGGAAGTGAAAGGTGTCTGAATCTCGGCCGCCTTCTCCCCCGCACGGAGGGGGTGCCGAGCGAACGGCGGACCGACCACCGGCAGGCCACAAACGCCCCGCCGCGTCTGAGGTTGGACGGAAGAAGAAGCGGCTCCGGAAGATAGGGCAAACGGAGCCGTGCCGGGGGAGTTTCATCGAGCCCCCAAAGTGGACCTTGAAACGCCCCCCTCGTAGGTACGATCGCTAGCACTCGACTCGGTGCGCTCTATCCACCTTGGCCTCTTGTTCCTTCCCCCCTTTTTCTTTTTCTTTTTTTTAATGTGATCGGGGTTCTCCTGTAGCGGGATTCCTTCCCAGGGGGTCTCGGCGTCCGATCCCTTGCAGGGGTCGAAATCCAAGCGATCGGATCAACCGGGACCCGGCCGACCAGGTGCCACAGAGGGTAAGATGTTACGACGGAAACCCGATGCGCTTGGAAGTAGTGGCGCAATTTCCTTAAGGCCATTAAAATTGCGTAAAGCATCTTCTGGACCTGTGGGTATCGGGTTTTCGCGTCTCGGAGTGCCTCGCTGACAAAGTAGACCCGCTGCACCTTTCGGTGGGGCCGGTCCTTGTTGTCAGGGGCGGCTGGCCCCAGGCGCCCGTGCTCAGGGGCCTCGGGGGGATCTCGGGCCACGTCGGGATTATAGGTCTCGGGGCCACCCGTTAGAGCCTCTCTTCCTCCCAAGGGGGCCTCCGGGCCCTCTCAGGGGTTGGGGGCTTCGGGCTCCGGGCAGTCGGGGGACGAGGGGCCATCGCCAGTCACGAGGGCCCCTGGTCCCTTCTCATAGCCGGGCTCACACCGCGGGTCGCCCTCGTCGCGCTCAACTACAAGGGCGGCACTCACCGCGTGGGGGGTCGCGGCCAAGTAGAGCAGCAACGGTTCCTCTAGCCCCGGGGCTACCAGGGTGGGGAGGGAGGTGAGGTAAGCTTTGAGCTGATTGAGAGCTTGCTCCGCTTCCTCCGTCCACACAAATGGCCCGGGGCGTTTGAGGAGTTTGAATAGGGGCAGCGCCCTCTCTCCCAGCCTCGATATGAATCGACTTAGGGCGGCCATGCATCCCGTGACACACTACGCATCCCTAAGTTTGTTGGGGGGGCACATCCTCTCTATTGCGCGTATTTTCTCAGGATTAGCTTCTATGCCTCGGGAGGAGACT